AAATATTAAATTCAAGATTCTTCTACTACAAGTTTTTTGAAATTCATTAAATAAGATAGAGTTAAAAGAATTGGTTTTTTTTGGGAGGTTTAACTGGTTGGTTGAAATTTTAACAATCTTTTTTTATTATTCTTTGTTGATTTTAAATTCCATTGTAGGAACCTAGATATGACTATCATCACTATTGTTGTCATCTCAACCACCAACACCTCACAACCATCACAACCATGAGATATATTTTGTTTCATCTCATATTAAACTTAGATATTAATCCCTTGATGTATTTTTCTAAGTGATATATGATGTATCCATAAATCAAACCTAACAAGAACGTATATATTTTGCAATTATTTTCATTTTCATATTGTAATAGTAATTTTAGGGTTAATTAACAGTCAGATACCTAAATTCTGCTACTTTTTGTAACAAACTAACTTTTATTCAAGTATTTGAATGTTCTCAAAGTATTTATATTGGTTGGGTAGCAAGTATGCTTAGTTGACATAAAGTATTTAAATTGGTTGTATAACAACTATAGAAAATACCTCTAAAGCGAGATTTAATCGTGAGGGACACACGACACCCCTTATTGGGCACGACACGCCCTGGCTATGACAACTATCAATTCTGGATCAAACAAAATCAATAAGTCAACCAAGTTAACTCGACTAGTATTAGGATTTTAGTATAAACACTTTGTTTCCTAACGTTCCTAATGTACAACTTACGAGTATTAATACAAAGTAGTGCTCTTTACACAAACTATTGAATAAGAATCCTATTTGGGATTAACCAGTGAAATTCGATAATTCAAGTATATATTATTTTGACAAAAATAATATTCATAACACAATGTGCTAATATCTTTGATGTAATTGAGGTTTTTATAATAATTTGAATTTTGATGATTCAAATTAAGTAATTTTACATTATTTTATAAAATATCATGCTTTTTAGAAAAACAATGCCAACATTTTGTAAAAATAAAGAGAGTTGACTTTGTTCATAACTAGACATGATGGTTCCATCTTTTCCCAACAAAAGCTTTACCCAAAAAATAACCAAGCCATTACCCAACATATAACCATGCATGCTAGCCCAGCCCACCCCCACCCCCACCCTCCCCTCCCCTTTCTCTTTTATTTTCGGCCGAGAGGCCTTCACCAACATCATCATCTACATTTTCATCTCATCCCGTAATGAAAAAGCTTCAATCCTCTATAGATTCATTCTTCTAAGTTGGTTCTTAAGTGTTTGGTAAGTATTTCCTTCATAATTTACTGATTCTACCCATTTATAACCTAATATCAATCCATTTACACACATTATCATGTGTTATTATCCACAAGATCTTCAAATCTTCAAGTGTTCATCAAGTGTTCTTGACTTGAATCCTTCCATCTACAACCTTTAACCACCAACAAAACACCCATAAAGTGAGTTCATGCCCCTTATTTTCGAGATTTTCATTTTTTTTTTTTGGGGGGGGGGGGGGGGATACAAGTAAACTTGTATAGTAACACAAGTTGTTATGGATGCTTCTTCTCTATGTTGTGTATAAAGTATTATTTGCATGAAATAAGGTTATTGCTAGTTGCTTGAACATTTATATGTGGTATGTTAGTTTGAAATACAAAACTAAGAAAATAAGTATAAACATGATAGATGTTATTGAGAAAAAGATATAAACCCAAATCTATAAAAACTAGGGGTTTTATGAACATAATATGACTTTTCTAGCAAAATGGTTATAACCTAGTTATTACACCATTTTTGTGAGATATAAACCAAAATATGTTATAAGGGACATATGTCTTGAAACTAGTAAAAAATATCAAAGTTTTAGTTTTCCAAAAAGAAAAGTTAAAAACCTATCATTTTATGTAAAAGTGAGTTTTCTAACAAAAATGATCATAACTAGATTATGACACCATTTTTGTGGGTTTTGACCAAAAATATAACTCGACGTAAATATCTCAATTAAGAAAAAAATAAGTTTTACACAGTTATATTTCATTATTTATTGGTTAATGTCGTTAAAAATAGAAAAATAACTATATCATACTAAATATTCTTATACTTGTGTTAGATGTAAATTATATGATTTAATCTTTTAAAACATTTAAACATGATAACTTATATATGTATATATAAATGAATATATATATATATATATATATATATATATATATATATATATATATATATATATATATATATATATATATATATATATGTATTAGTTTCTACACATTTAATCTTTAATGTTTTTTTACACATTTAGTTTTTTTGACTGATTTGTTCAGATTGTGCTCACCACATCTTATGTGGAAGAATCATTAATGATGTGTTCTTATATGTGGTTCGTCATTTATTTATATCAGTAAACTAATTCATGAATCGCTCACATAATATTGATGTCTTAGTTTTCTCCAAGGAGAAGATATATTTGGCTTCAATTTCATCTATCTCCATAGCGGACAAGGAAATTCTTTGTGATTGTTTCCTCTTAACTCGAATTAGCACTTCTAAGGAAAAAGAATAATAAAATACACTAAAAGAATTTGCACTTCCAAGACAAAAAGCACTCTGGCAAAAAGTTTCATCTTACTCCATAGCAGACAACGAGATTAGTTGTGATTGCTTCTTTTAAACTCGAATTTGCACTTCCAAGACAAATAATCTATTTGTCTCCTATGGAGATAGATGAAGCCGAATATCTTATGTTTGAAGAAAGTTAGGGCATTAACCTTATTTGACCAATTCGTTAAATAGTTTACCGATATAAATAATGGACGAGTCATGTATAAGAACACCTTATTAATGATTGTCCAATATATGATGTTGCGAGCAAAAATCTTAAGACACCGGTCATAAAAACTAAATCTATACAAAAACGTTAATGATTAAATGTATACAAACTAAAAATTATATAACCATATTAAGTTTTTTTTTTTTTTTTTTTTTTTTTTTTTTTTTTTTTTTTTTTTTGCTTAAGTTAAAGTAACCGGTTATAAAGAGTAAATGTAGACAAATAAAAACAAGTTAAAAATATATATTAAAAAAACAAAAAAAACCAATGACCAAATATATTTATAAATCAAAAAAATATATTACTATTATATCAAGTCATTATCCATATATATATATATATATATATATATATATATATATATATATATATATATATATATATATATATATAATATATATATATATATATATATATATATATAAACCAAAAAAAAACTAACATACTTATAATATAATCCTAAACACCACCTATATATTCCAGTAAGATTTGAACCCATGACTTCTAATTTGAAAGAATGGCTTTTATTCATTTGAGAGAATCACTTTTAGTTAACATCATTAATATAAAATAGTAAAAATATAAAAGCTATAACATAAATTTACTTTAATAAATAATTTTTTTTATCATATGTAAAATTCTTATTCATTATGCTACATGTTATTTGTTAAATATTTAAAATTAAATTTTGTATATAGATATCAAATTTTTATTTATTTTGCCATATATTATTATATAAATATTTAAAATTAATTTTTTATATACGTAATTTTATTGTTTTTTTTTTTCATTTTATTAATTTCCATATATTATTTGAGTAAACTTAAAATAGAAATAAAACTTTGATTTCATAATTTAATATTTTTATTTATTTATAAACTAAAAAATATTTAGACATTTATATTTAATTTTTTTAATTAATAAATATGTAGACATTTATATTTACTTTTTTTAATTAAACCATATGATATGATTCTCAAAACTAAAATGTTAATAAAAGTAGTGATCATTAAAAGTTGGAAAATCAAATTATTAATGCTTAACTCCCGAATTCTTTTCATATTCACTGCCAAAACACATACAATTAGACACACTTCCTCACTAACAAAACCAACCCACTCATATTTAATTTTATTAAGTTTTTTAATTTTTTTAATTAATAAATGTTTAGACATTTATATTTACTTTTTTTAATTAAACCATATGATATGATTCTCACAACTAAAATGTAGAAAGATATTTAATTTCTCATATTAATAAAAGTAGTGATCATTTTGACATGGAAAATCAAATATTAATGCTTAATTAACTCCCAAATTCTTTTCATATTCACTCCCAAAACACATACAATTAGACACACTTCATAACAAAACCATCCCACTCATATTACCTTTTCATAAAAACTTAAAAGAACCTGAATCTATAATCTCGTATCGATGACATGGACTCTTCCAGTCATCGGGAAGTTGCAAATAAGGTAAGTCAGTCAACAAGTCAACCGTCAATATACAACACACAAAGCCAAAATTACACCAAAACAGAAAACAAACAGCAAGAAACAAAGCACAAACAGCAGAAAGCAACTTCAACACCATTTTAGTTTCGAAGTAACCTTTTACAACATGATATTAGACCTAACAGAAGATCAAAAGGGGTGGACCCCAACACCCTGCCATAAGCAAGATAGCCTCAGGTGCCCAAGTCCACCACCCCTACTCCTATACACCACCATCTTCACGTAATGATCATAGTACACCCGATAAACCCTACTGGTTAAAATCGTCTTTTCCCATCAAACCCCAAATCTTACTAGAAACTCTAAAAACCTAAACAACATTAGTTCTGAAAGAAACTCGGATGATAATGGAGGAAACACAGAATGATTAACCTAAAACCCTAATGGGTAAAAGAGTCTTTTCACAAGCTAAAAACCCTAATGAAGAAACTTTCCTATTACGGTCATCTTCGAATGAACACCATCCGACCCATCTCTTGCCGGTTCAAACGAAACGGGCATGTCTTCTTCGGATCCATAGGTGAAGTCCATTGTTTTGCAATTGTTCACTAAACGCTTTTTGCCCTAAAAATCCCGAAAAAAATGGTGTAAATGAATCGTTTAGAGTTATTTCTTGATCATATTAAAAGTACCTGAATTCGGGCTCTTGTAATCTCTGCTATCTTCGGACTCTCAAAGAAGTCCCAATGTTTGCCATGAAAGGGTGTCCCTAAATCTCGAAGCACCTTCTGGAGTTGTGAAGTTCACAAACGCGAATCCAGCGTTCACTCGATTGCTGTGACATGACAATGAAATAAACACAGTTACACCAAAAACACAGTCTACATCGATTGTTTAAAAATGAAAACCAGATGTGAACCAACTTGAAATCTATCGGAAGATACAGAAAATCATAAGCAGAAATCGGGTTCTTCTCATCAATGGAGTCATTGTTGATCTTTTGATTCACAAGCTTGCAGTGATCGTCTAAAGTTTGTATCAGCAGCTTTCTCCTGTAAAACATGAACTTCTCTGTTGGTTTCAAATCATAACTTCCCATTTTGGGAAAACCCTATGTATTAAATGCTAAGAAATCATCTTCTATATCATTGTTTAGAGAGAGAAAGATGTATGAAGATGTAATAAATGATGATGATTTACGTGTATTTATTCGGAATGTTTTTGATCATGACAGATGAAGTTTCAGTATCAAGTGGCAAAATCTCTTGATACTCTCCACTTCTGTTTTTCCAACGCCTTTTTCCTCCACGCCCAACTTTCTCCAGAGTTGTTTTTTTCTCCACCGGCTTCCACTGCGTCGTCATTTCAGTTCCGCCGCAACCATTGCTTCCGAAGTGAACCGCCTTGTTAACTCTCCGGTGGCGTCCAGATAGCCGGGATTTGGGGTTTCTGGGCCCCGAAGGAACCGAAGCCAGAGAGAAATTGCTCTTTTTTCCAGGAGAAGGTGGTGGAGGAAGTGGTAGTGGTAACGACTTGGCGGGAAACGGCTGTTGATGAGCATTGTACGACCAGAAATATGGTGGACGTGGTAGAACTTGAGGCAAAATCCGATAATAAGGAAGTGGTCGAGGAATATGGTAGATGTAGAAATCCCGAGGATAAATTGTATTGTAAGGAGAAGCTCTCGGATCCAAGGGTCTGGAGGAAACAATTTCAATCGCCATTGATAGAGCTCTAGAGAAAACAGGAGTATTTGTAGAAGTTTCTTGGGGTTTGTTGGTGAAGAAAAAAGATTTTAGAATGATTTTTTGGATGAATCTTAGAGAGAGAGAGAGAGAGAGAGAGAGAGAGATTATGGGGGCTGTAATGATGTAAGGAATTAAATGCATGTATGGCACAGCCGACGGCAAATGTTTCCTTTTGTCTACCTTCTTCACTGTCAATTATCAGTTGCTTTCCAATACTCGATCGCATTTCACAGACATATACGATCAAAAGATCGTCCTTGTTTTATTTCTTTTTACTGTTTTACTATCTTTTTAATGTCATTTCGCTGTATATCCATTTTTTACAGAGATATTTACCCAACATTCATGTTCTTTAAACATATTTTACATAATACTTTTGTTCTAAAAATAATTCTTATGACCATTATCAAACTTTAATTTTTATATAAAACAGGTTCGAAAACCAATATGATTTGGGATGTATACAACCTCTTTTCAAACTTTTCGACTAAGATATGATTAAGAAAAAACCATAACGTCAATAAATAAAAATGAGGAAGCAATAGTATACTAACAACGTCTAAATGGTGTGTTCGACAAAATTAGCAGGTAGCGGTTAACATATAGTTTGTAACGTTTTGTTAAACACATAAAAGTAACATTTTGATTTGGAACATTTTGTGTAAACTAAACGCTAGAACCTTATCGAACGGGGTCTTCTGTTCAAAATGAAGTTTTTTTGTCAAACGCTATAAGCTAAAAAATCTCAAACGCTCTTTGCTGAACACGTCCAAAATATAATTGTTTGGCTGAAATCACAAACTATAGAAATTTTGTTTTGATGAGACATTGTTCCAAATCAAACTTTATATATATATATATATATATATATATATTATATATGTATATATATATATATATATATATATATATATATATATATATATTAGTGGTGTACCCGCGCGATGCAGCGGCAGCTATTTGTTTCATTTCGGCAATTTATTTTCAACCGAGAATTAGTTTTACTATGGTGGTCGCGAAACCGTTTATGTTTGGTGTCTGGTTTGCTTTCGACGAGTATAACTTGGGTTAAAGGAAAAGTGTATTGTTATTTTTTTTAAAGTATACCGTTTTCAGTTAAAAACAAAAATATATTATTGTTTTGTACACCAAACTATTGAATAACATGATCATGTATTGATCTTAGCCTATCTAGCATTCTATATTTAAACTTTGATCAAAATTAGATTTTAATTATTTTAATACGACATTTATTAGTAGTTGAAAGAGAATTATGTTAGTCATTCTATCTTTTATCAAATTATTGTTGTTTGATTTTTATCTGTTCATAAGATAAAAAAGAATATTATTAGGCATTTTGTCTTTCTAACAAGATTTTTAATTTGATTAAAATGGACCACTATAAAATTAAGTGAGTTTTAGACGTTTTGCTAATTTAGTTATGTTATGAATATTTACATAATTGAGTTATTTCAGTTTTGTATTTCTATGTAATTTTATTTTAAGTAGATTGTTTTTGTGGTAATACATACGATTACGTTAAGAAATAATAATTTGGAATGAGATACTATGCTTAACATATTTAATGAAAGTCAATTACTTAACGGTGATAATTAGTAATTGTTAAGGTAGTTCAATATCGGATATCTATCGTTCAAGTCCGCCTATTAAAGAAAGCTCAATAATCATTTTTTAAAAATGAAGTCATACACTACCATGCATAGCAATTCACGTGTACCTCAAATAAAAAAAAAAAAAAAAAAAAAAAACAATGACTCAATTTTGAAAACCATGTATCTATATTTGTAACTCGGTGCATTTTTGTTGAACACTTGAATTTTGATCTTGAGAAAACAAAATAACAATAACAATCAAACATGAGCATAAAAGACACGAAATCATAAACTCAAAAAAGTTAATTGCTATTTCCTTGAGACTTAACAAAGTTCGTTCATTTTTCTACTTGTTTCTAAGTTTTCCTTCAAGACTCAAGCTTAAAGTGATGTTTTTGATGTCGTTGTCGGCTACTTCTACGTATGGGCCATTTTTTGGTCGTGTTATAGCTGTCTCGTTAAGGGGGTGTTACGGGATAAAACATTTACTTTCATTGGCTATTCCTTCATCCACCAATCAAATTTTTTTCTTTTTTCTTCTCTTTCCTCTTAACACCATATTATAACATGGAAACACCACCTCCACTTCTTGTTATAACATGTTGAAAAGTGAGGTAACAATATTTAGCTTCATAACATCCTTGTCCATACCCAATACTCTAAATATATTGATATTTGTTATTTAAAATAAAATATATAGATGTACGGTATAACAATAGTCATCCATAAATAACTTGTATCAAGAATCACCAATTTTGGTTAATAATTTTTAGATATTATTTATTATTATTGTTTAAAATTTCTTAGATAAAATATTTTACTACTTTGTAAATTATTTATAAAAAAAAATGTTTTTGTTTTATGATTTAATGAAAACAATAAGAACCCATATTTCCGAAGTTTTAAACACTTGTTTTTTTTTATTGCAACTACCATATACGTATTTAAAAAAAATTAACATATTTTTACTATGTGTATAAACAATAATATTTCTTTTTAAAATAATTTACAATAATAATTGATTTGTAACATATTTAATTAATAATTTTTTTTTTAAAGAAAATATAGTATTTAACTTCAAAGAATGTGTCTTTATCTATCCTAAAATCATTTTCAAAAAAATATATACATATATCAAGAATAAAAATTTATGTTATCTTGGGACGTGTATAAGAAAAGAATATTTTTTTAATCTTTCTTTTTGCAGTTTTAATATTCTCAAAATCTAATACATCTTTATTTTCAATATTATTTTTAATCAAAATAAAAGAGAAGAGCCTTGGAGTCAATGACAGCTATAGACTATTTTACAAATATTCAAAAAATTGAACCACGATACATCATAATTATAATTCCAATATAAATGTGAAACTTGTTGCTCTAAATCTACCCAATCTACACATTTTAGTATATATCTAAAACTTTTAAGAAAATACAACATCCACCTACACAAATACAAAATCATTTCAAACCATTTCTCAAAATCTATTCAAATGCAAAATATATGAATACCTTTATATATTGCTTATTTTCTTCGATGATACAAGTTTTACATTTTTTACTTTAATTGTAATACATTTGCTTTAACTAAAGCATATAATGCCATATAGAAAAGAAAAAGAAATTCTCAAAGCTTTAAAAAAAAATCGAAGTGCTAAACACAATTCTTGAAAGCAAACAAAATGTAATAACATTCTGAATAAGCCTTTTTCATCTACAAACTAAAACTCTTTTTCAACATAAAACATTTCCCATTCAATTTAAAAAACATTCTCATATAGATCTAAAAACCACTTTGTAATACCACATGCAGAAACCCACTGAAAAACACATTGACATGCATTGGATATTCTTTAATAATTATTCTCGATGGCAAATATGCATTTAGAACCATCTTGACTCAAGGTCGCCGGAAAAACATTTCAGATGTCCCACACAAATTTACTCACATAATCAAACATATAACTTATACACAGATACAAATCCCAGAAATCAACAACATATAAGTGAATCAAACATCTTACATTACACATCACAAACAAATCTAACAGCATATACAGATAGATCTACAAAAAAATACAGATCTACAATACACAAACACTGATATGAAATATTTAGAAAATAAACACAAATAGATATTCAACTAATATACATATATTCG